CTTCAAAGACATTCATCTATATATTTTAAAACATCCACGTCTGACCAATAGCATAAAAATTATAAACAATTCAAATTTAAGCCTAGTTTTATAAAGAAATGATTTAACTCTCGGGAAAATATTCGGATCGCCTTGAAATTTTAACAGCTCACTTCTTAAATAGGATGATTTATATATAATCATATAAAATTATATATAATTTTTTTCACTAGTATAGGGAATAATTACAATAAAAAATAAAGAATAACCATAAATAACAGATAAAATCAAAAATCAAAAAATAAAACTACTACTTTTGTGATGCTCCATGAAATATTGAAGAATTTCAATAAAAACCTAGCCTATCTTGTGTTTCAATTCAAATAAGATAAATAATGTTTTGTAGCTGCATCGTGCAATCTGGATCAGTGGTAGCGCGCAGAACTGGCAACTAGAAGGACCCGAGTTCAAATCCCGTCGACCCTCAGAATTTTTCATCAGATAGATAATCGCAAATATTCTGTGAGGTCCAATTCCTACTTATTTTTAATTTAAAAATTAAAAAAATTTTTTATATAATTAAAAAAAAATAATAAATTTTTTTATATAATTATATATAATTTTATATAATTATATATAATTTTATATAATTATATATGGCCAAAACTCATACATAATTATATATAATGATTTATATATAATTATATAAAATTATATATAATTTTTTTTCCCCGGGCTTAGTATCCAGATTAGCTTTTTTCTCTTCTGATTCAGATATCTCTTCAAACAGTTGATCTCTCAGCAACTTCAATTTATTTATTTCTTGCAAAGCAAAGGTATCTTGGTTTGATTTATTGATGAATTTCAACTTAATATAAGATTTCAAGTTTTCTCTTTCGGCTTCAAAGTTATCAACGTTGATCTTATTGTAGTCAAATTCTTTAGAAATATTAACGTTGTCATATAGCTCGCGATTACGATAAACTATGCAATGATTCTTGAAAAAAGACGCTGCTACTGAAAGGTCAATTTTATCCAAATTTTCATGAATCGCATGAAAAGCAACCATTTCGTAGTTCATATTTTCGTTCAATTCAAAACATTTTTGCACAGATATAGGTTCAATCAAACCATCTGTTATTATATACAGTAATTTGATTTTGGTATCTGGTTCATTGATATAACAATTTTGCTGTATCCATTCGATAATCGTCCCTGGTTCTGTCCACATTTGTCCACATTGTCAGTGAACGTATGTTGTTATTGCTTTAATTTCATCAACTTCGTAGCACTTATCTCCCCAATGTAGGTAAATTATTTCTGATTCTTCTTCTGTCTCTCCATCTGCTGAATTTCCCA